TGGGGGAGCAGAGAGGTTCACTGAGAAAAGAAAGAAGTGGCAAGGCAGCAAGGGTGCCCCGGGGCAGCAGCTTGATGTGCTTTTCTCTGGAAATACCAAACCCTACTACAACATTTTCCAAAGTGGCTCGGATTCCACCTCCTGCAAGGCTTTGACAGCTTCTCACACTTCCCTGCTGCTCATCCATCACTCACTAAGGCAGAAAGAGGGCACCGAGGTACTCAGCACTGAGCAAAACGGCTCCAAATGCACGGAATAAAAATTGCATCCACTGAGCATGATGCACAAGTGAAAGGAATTCCTGCCTCCAAAGAAAAGAGACAGGGAGGAGGAAAGTGAGAGAAGAATGATCTCTTTCCTAGCTCTTTGCCTATCTCACCCCAAAGGGGACCTGGACACTGCGAGACTAAACACAGAACAAACACAAAAGCCTATCCTAGCAAGAATCCAAACCAGAGCACGACCCACCTGAGGCAGCTTCTTGTGAGCACAGTTTATTCCTCCAACGGAAACCATGTTGGGCATCAAAGGTCTGGGGTAGTCCAACACAAAATCTAACCTCATGAGCCAAATGGAACCCTGGCTTAAGAGATCCAGCGCAGTCACCTCCCGGTGAAGGAACTCAGAAGCCAGTTTGGCATAGGGTTGATAGAGAAAATCACACAGAAAATAATTTTGGAATTCAAAGATGAAGTTCTTCACCCGTTGGAGAAAGTTCATGTGGTCCGAGAGGTCTGTGAATGCCCTGGGGACATAAGAAGGGGGACTGGGACATTGAGGGGCTTCGTAATCTAAACCACATGGTACCCCACGCATGAAAAACACGGAAGGGATGGAAAGATGCTCAGCCAGGATGGGCCCACAGAGTAGCACAGGGTCTGTCAGGACAGCATCAAAGTTGGCCTCCTGAAGATACTGCATAAGCTCTGTGTTGTAGAGTAAGCTTGCACAGTTGGAGATGGCCATGTCAGAGACTCTTTTCATCTGTTGGTATGTTTTAATAAATCTTCCCAGAAAAGTTCCTTCTTCAAGTAAAAATTGTAAAAATATCTGGAAACTCTCCTCCAGCTCTTCCTGTGTGAAATTGATTGGGTACAACTTCATCACAAAGTTCTCTGATGGTTTCATACGCATGCTTACTTCAGGTGCAACCACCACTACTTCGTGGCCCTTCAGGCCGAGTTTATCCAGCACCTCCGTCATGCTGGAGAAAAGCCCAGGCAGAGAAGCCCTGGTGGCACTGGAGCAATGGCACCAGCCCCCTGCTTTTAAACACTCTGTGCTACAACGTGATTTGTGATCTTTGGATGTATTTATTTGCTGTCTGGTAAATGTGTAACTATTCATTTGATAAAAGGCTACTTGATGAGTACTAAGCTCAGGTAGCTCCACGGGCTGGTGGCATGTGGTGGGTGCATGAGATAAGCCCAGTCTCTTTATAGTAGAGGAAGGGTGAAGAACTTCCCAGGAGGGAGGCAGGGGTGGTTCTAGGTGGGACTGCACTTCCGGTTGCATCCCTCTGGCTGAACCTTTTGCAGATGTGTCACATCCACACCACCATCCACCCTAGCAGAGGCCAAGACCTGTCCCTTCCTTCCAGCCCCCTCTTTGAAGACTCATCCCTAGGAGGCCTGTGGCCCCAGAGCAGATGTGGAAGAGCTGTTTAAGATGGTTTCTGGGGTGAGAAGACTGAGGAGGATGGAAGTGCACCAAAAATGGTATGTTAAGCAATGTGGAAGCATTGCAAGTTCCTGCAAAGGCACATAGGAATGAGGATTTTTGAAGGTCCCCCATAAGATGTGTGACAGCCTGAAGAGCTGGACCCAGAAGAACCCTTTGAGGCTGGTGCAGAAGGTGTGCTCTTCTGTTATACAATGTGGAGTTGGAGGATAGACCTGTTCCCTCCTC